GTAGGAAGAGACCTCACTGGACATACCCAGACTTTATCGTATGTACTACTGTGTACACTATGTACTGTTACATACTGTGTGTTATGTATTATGTACTGTACCTACCTTATATTATGTACTACTTATTGTGCATACCGTTTGGTATGTACTAAGTATGTATTGTACTATAAGGCATGTGCTATGTACCTACCAGGACTGGATGGTATGGGTATCTACTGATGGGAACTTAGCTCTCTTAGATTAGGGAAACACCTGGCGAATGAACACGAATGCTGATTACTAATGTAGTTATATTTATCAAAACGTTTGGTCAAGAAACAACGCATATGAATGTACCAAAACGTTTTTAAGGATTTTTTAAATTTATGTAACAATAATATTTTAAATTATTTAAGAATCATACAAGTTACTGTTTTAATTTTTTAGGCCTATCCAGGGAAGACTTTGGAAATGTCTAATTAGAAATTGAAAAAAAAAAAAACTTTTCTATTATACATCCTTCTCTATCATGAAATAAAAATTGTCCTTAATTTTCAAACGAAGAATTATCAGTTAAGGAATAAGAAATAGCAGGAGTGTGCCGGCAGTTAGGTCATAACTTCCGCCACAGTTCTGCGAATGCCTTACCATATCTTGCGCCTGCAGATGCATTTGTATTCGCCGTTGAAGATTTCAAACCGCTATCTCAAGAGCACAGGAACATTACTGAATATATTAACATGAGGTATAACTGAAAGGTTCAGTATGTAACCATTCAGCGTCAGGGGACACTAGCGAATTTATAAGACATTTGTTCTTTTCCATTTTCCAGTTTACTAAATTTTAGATTCATATTATGTCAGTCTTAACAAAGATGTTAACAATAATTTGATCCATATCTGAAATTCGATGCTATGCGTGATCCTCCCCCAAATGTTAGAAACAATCCTCTCATTGGAACATCAATGTGCAGAAAAGATAAAAGCTTCTCAAATTGTTCTCAATTATATTCTGACTTTTTTTTTTTTTAATTTTGTGCATTGCAAATTTTAGATCTGATTTTATTAAAGGTTGGTATCTGTATTATATGTTTATAATATTGTTCAAATTAACTTGGAACAACATGGGCCAAAGTCCAAAACTTTTGTGTTTGAAAATTTCGATCTACACTAAAGAAATCAGATTAGGTTATGCATCAATTTGTAAAACAAAAAGCCAAATGCACCCATTATTAATATTCACTCTCTCCTGACTTTTTTTATCCAGATCACTCGAATTTTAAAATTTTAGAAATTTGTCGTTTTCATAAGTGGATATTGATGGAATTTTTATTCTGAGTTAAAAAGTGCAAAACATGTACAAAAGGCTTTACATACAGCTTTACATTTCATTAACGGCAGTAATTATTACATATGAGTAACTATAAAAATTATATTTCTTTTTACCAGGAAAATTTTAGTAATTAATTAGGATTAGATGAATTGGTTTTGGATAGAAAACATAATTGTATTTACTAGGATTTGTATTTCCATGGACTAAAGTGGATGTAACCATCGTAAATTCAGAGTTAGTTAGATATAACAAAAAAAAAAAAAAAAATCAATTAAAGTCTACTTTAAGTTTAAGTAGCCGAGAAAATAAAACGATTGTATGAAAAAAAAAAAAAAAAAAAAAAAACGGATACAGAAAAGTATGAGTGGGAACTGTGACAATCCTAGGATAGAAACGTAACAAAAAACGGGACACCAGCTGAGCATTGAAACTAGCTCGGATTTCTTGTCTACCTTTTTCAACTAGACTATAAAAAAAAGTAGGTTTTTTACATTGATTGTCGGCAGATGGGCCTGTAAATCTGAACCATGTGAATTTTCCGTTCCCTTAAAAGTTTAACCAAATACCAAAAAAATAATTCTATTCGATATAGTGCTAAAAGTGTCGAGTGCAGTTCTGTGTTTTTCTCACTATTTCCCGATAAACCTTCAGCAGGCTTTGCCGTTAAATATAGAAATGGAGGAAATGTGTGGGAAAAAAAAAAGAAAGAATAAAGCAAATTTAAACAATCATAAAGAAAATTCTTCATTTTATCCTGAGATTTACTTGATGATTTATATTATTAGTAATAATAATAAAGAAAATTTAAATATGAAGAAAACTAAATGAATCAATAAAATAATAAAAAACTAAGGTGTGAGCTTTAGACTACACGGTAGAAGTGAAAACATAAAGGCGAGATTAATGATATGAAATATAAATTATAAATAATAGCTCATTATAAAGAGGATGAAATGCTGAAAAATTCCCTCGCTTATAGTATGCAGATCCGATTTTAGTTTTTGAGATATTTTAATCCATGTCTTCCACAAAACTCGTTATCGAAGAGAAGAATAGTTGGGGTGTTCAATCAAAAAAGGAAGGCAAAAATAAATGATAATATTTATTTTTTACATATGCCGACGTTTCGACCTGAAGTTCAGGCCTTCATCAGGGCTGTCTCCTTAAGTGTGGCAGGGAGAATCAGATATTGACAGCCCTGATGAAGGCCTGAACTTCAGGTCGAAACGTCGGCATATGTAAAAAATAAATATTATCATTTATTTTTGCCTTCCTTTTTGACTGAACACCCCAACTATTCTTCTCTTCATTATCCACGACTGTTAACCAATTACCAATTATTAAAAAACTCGTTATCATTTGATTTTTGACACTACTTTATCTCTTTTCACCTCTCTAACGCGGCGTCGCATTTAGATAAACTTTTGAATAATAGCCCATTACAGAGAGGATAAAATGCTGAACAATTCCCTCGCTTATAGTATGTAGGTCCGATTTTTAGTTCTGAGATATTTTGAGATTGAGATATTTATTCATGTGAAAAAACACTGCACTCAGTCGACTTCAGGCTACTTTACCAGAGCGTTACTTATCGGAAATCTGACGGTTCAATCTAATTCACTCTCCACAAAAAGAGTGCAAAACGCGCATTAAGAAATTTTCATTTCAAAAATATTAATCAGCTACATACTTTTTCCCGCCAAGAAGTTTAATGCTAGTTAACGTCCCAATGAATAATACTTAATTTTTTTTTTGTGATTCGATGAAATTATATTAACAATCTTTGTGGCAATTTTCTTATGGCACAATAATTATTTGCACAAAAATTTCTTAAGCAGTTGGCCAATCACGGATTTCATGTTCACCCCAATTCCAAGCCGCCACGCATCATTTGGCATTTTATAAAAACTAGCCATGAAATTTCAAGCAATTCTTTCAATTGTGCAATAATAGACTTAATTTCCTCTTGGGCCCAGGTAAAGAATCTGGCGGTATAATTTAATATTTTAGACATTGACGACTGTTTCTGAAGAGGACGAATTGATGCTTTCTTTTCAAGTATTTCATGATTCTGTATTAACTACTTAAGTATGATCTTAATCAGCCTGAAGTAATTAAAAAGAAAAAAGAAAAAGTCTAAGAATCAGAGGCTACAGTACTAAAGAAGGTATTTATCGACTAGTAAATGGCAAAGTACTTCAGATTTAGTAGTTGTCTTTTTTATTAAATCTTGAGAGAGACAGAACTAAAATAATATTGCACGGCTGCTCAACTGTGTGGAGCTACTAAATAACACAGTATACTCAACCAATCAACAGATAATTTTAAAAAAATAATTAAGAGAGAGATAAGACCACTGCAACAGCTAATATGCCAAGACGTTTTTACAATAACGTAAAAATAGATTAATGGATCAATACATAAAAAACGTTGAAGACTGAAATATGATAACGTCATTGACACTGAAATAGGATCAAATGCCTTGTGACAAAAAAAGCATTAACAAATAGATAGCAACTGATAACTCTCCGAATCATTAGCTAAGAGATAGATTTACACAAGGCAAAAAGAATTAGTCATCGATTAGATAACTCAATTCACTAGTTTGAGATAATCTGCATTCGATCACTTATGGCGTAACTTGTACATGAATGTATATTTTAAAATATAATATTGCAGTATCCGGGCAAGGTAGTCAAATATTTGAACAGATTGTTTATATATTTATTTGTAAGTGAAAAGTATATCATCCCGAGAAATAATTACGTGATCATTTTTTTGTAGTTGAAGTTTTTAGACCGCGGTACACAGACTCCTTTTTATAAAATTATTAACAACCGTCAAAAACTTCGTTAATGAAGAGAAATTCTCCGAAATAAGGCATTTTCTATCTGGAGATAGGTAAATCGTGTAACTAAAAGATCATGATTAACTTTCCACTGGAAACGTACGATAATTTGATCTCAAAAAACTTCCACTCGCAACTTGCCAAATTAACGAGGTTATGTAGTATCTCTAGAAAATATTTATTGAAGGAACTGATCCCACAATAAAGTAACAACATACACTAGCCGATCCAGGATTTAATTTTGGGAGGGGGGCTTCAGCCCGAAAGCTTTTTTTTTCATAAAAATGACGGTAATTACTTTGAAAAAAAAAGAAGGAAACTAACTATCTATATGAAATGTGATTCCTTAAGTTCTTTTAAATGTAATTACACGGACAATAATACTTTAAGAGATAATTTTTACGTAAAACTTGGTTATATTTTACCAGTTTGGGGGAGAGGGGAGGGGCCGAAAGCCTCCTCCATAGATCCACCCGTGACAACATACAATGAACATTTCAGAAGATTGTGTCAGAAGACAGCTGTTACTTTTTTTACTAATATTATGAAGTATTAGTACCATTTCCATCCTAAAACATCTAAATTACTCCCATCACCAATTTCCTTTTGAAACCCGTAGGCTCCTAGCCACTTCCTTAATTTTTCTCCACTTTGACTATTGCTGTACGGTATATGGGGGCCTCTCTGGGGATCTCGAGGCGAAACTAAAACTTTTGATAAATTGCTTTGTACGATTCATCTTCGGGATCCCAAGGGACGCCTCTGTTTCCCAGTTTTATGCGGAGTTAAAGTGGCTTTATCCTTCCTACCGTCGTAAGTATTTCCTAGCATCCTTCCACTTTCAAGTCATCCAATCCCACCGTCCCTCATACATCTCCGAGCTCCTTCAATTCAAATCCTCTGTTAGTTCCCGCAATACTCGTTCCCGGTTTTCTGATTTATACCTAAGGGCCCACCGAACCGCTGATTTCGACAAATCGTTCATTATCCGATCCTCATCCCTATTGAACTCCATCCCTTCCCACATCTGTCAATCCAATACCCTTCCTACCTTTAAATCCCGCCTGTTCAATCATTTCTTATCCATCCAGTCCCCATAAAATCGTAAATAGATACTACTGTAAATATGTGCATAAATTATTAGTTCATTATTTGTACTCCAATTTTTTTTATCTATTGTTTTTATTATCAACTGATCAAAATTGGAAAGCAACTTATATGTATATGTATATATATATAACAACTTTTCCTTAATCAACCTTTGAGTATTAAATTTAAAAAACTATTTAATTGGGAATAAGGTCATTTAATTATTATTTAATAAACTATTGAATGTTCATTTCTTCTGTTTATTGACGTTTCGATCCCGATATTTTCTTTTTATTAGTCAACCTCAATCCTCTTCAAATCTAGAATCCTCTTCAAAGCTTTTCAAAGAACCTCTTCAAAGCTAGAATTTAAAAAAATAGAGCTTCGATTAAGCTACTGGTTAATAGTTATATATTAACTATATAACTATATATATATATATATATATATATATATATATATATATATATATGTATATATATATATATATATATTATTTTTTTTCACCAAGACTGTTCAATTACTCTGAATTTTTATTTATGTATCTCTGAGGCTCCTTAGCCCACACATCTGTCTTCCTGTATTATTCTAAAGGGACTTGTCCAGAATAAATACAGTATTATTATTATTATTAAGTGAGTTGCTGTAACACATAACTATATGTTACAGCAACTCACTGCCAATAATTATTGGTAAATCCTGTAAAATTCTTTAATTAAATTATATGTGTTCACTGATGTCGAAACCAGTCATACAATTATCTTTAGGACGCACTAAAACTGGGTTGTTAACCTAACTGTATCAAGGGTAGGTCTTAATACCTTCCAGTGACTTTATTTGTATTAATTTTTATCTTTTGTTCTCCGTTATTCATCGATCTCGTTATTAAAACTACTAATGTTAGCTGGCCAGATAAAATTTTCTGCTATTTATATATAAAAAACGGTATAGTTTATTCTTGTGACTTTAGAAATATTATTATATTTCAGATATTCAAAGCAGGAAATATTCAGGTTTTTTCCACTATTGCAATAGTGGTTCTACGGCGAAGAGACGGGGGTAGGGTCTTTCGTGCTGAAGCCCTCCGAAATGTAAAAATATATTTTTTTTCTATCTAAGCTATATAGTTTGACAATAACAATATGTTCTCTTTTTAAATTATAGTGCATATACAACCACTAAATGTAAGTACGTTTAAAGAAAAAATGTAAAAAAGTTATCTCTCAAAGCATTATTGTTCTTGTATTTTTTTTAAATAGGCCTTTAAAGGACCACTTAAACATCGTCTCATACGAGTCTTCTCTTTATTTTTTAAGATTAATTACCACTATTAAAAAGATAAAACAACCCTCAATTTGGACAGGTGGAGTTGAGCTTTAGGACTCCACTAAATCATCAAGTTCCTCTCGTATCCAATCCGTGCAAACGAAAATCCTTCGCAATATCCTCAATGCTCCATTCTATATCAAATATAAAATTATCCATAATGACCTTAATGTTGCATATTTTTAACGACTTAGCCACGGTCAGTTATCAAAAAAAATATTCCTCACATTATAACCAACTCAGTCGAAGTACCTTTTTGCACCCAGGATTGGGTCAGTGTCTTAAAAATGAATGGGATTAAAAAAATGACTTAGATAGTATTTATTCTGTTTTCAATAATTTTATAATAGATTACAGTTACCTATCGTTCTATTATAAACTTCAGATCAACCCAACTCAATTCTAAACTTCGATTCCTTATAATCCTCCGAGGCGTCTGAAAAGAAAATGGCATCGAGACCTTCTAATATAGAACTATAATTGGAGTAGTTTATATAATATATAACTATTATATCTACAAAATACCAATGTAGTTTCTCATCATGTTATACGTCATATATTACCAATTCAAATTTGCTAGTCGTATTTGTATCTAATACAATTGTAAATTTCAATGAATATGTTAATTAAAAAGTGACGCTAAGTAATGAATTTTTTCATTATTTCTTAATGATATTTACAACTGTATTATATAAATACAGCTAGTAAATTTGAACATATGGATATAATGACATGAAAACACTTGCTGAGTAACTACCCAATGGTGGCACTCTAATGATATGTCTACATTAGGAAATCACGGGGCCATCTTCTTTTCAGACGCATCGGAGAGTTATTAGAAATTGAAGAGGAAGCAAGGTTAGAAACGAGAGGGTTGGGATGATTCTGAAGTTTATTATGGAAGGATAGGTATCTGGATTGGGCCAGATCTGAAACATTAACATTTTATTTGTAACAAAGTAGGGAGCATTGAGGATTTTACGAAGGATTTTGGATTGTAAGGATTGGATACGGGATGAATTCGATGGTTTAGAGGAGCCCCATTGCTCAACTCCGTAAAGAAAATTTTAAAATGTATTAACTGGTAATAAAGCTAATTAATTAACACATAATAGTTTCCTTGGATTCCGTTACTTATTGTGTTGATACGATTCCTTTAGAACGGATTTTCACAATATAACACTCAAGATATTCCGCTATAGAACGCGGGCCGAGACATCTCGGTCCATGCAATGATGTAAGCTAGGATATTACATACGTACGGTATCCGGAAAGGGTGGTTTATTTATTAGATATTAGATTACGAGAAGATAAATATTATTATTATAATGTCCTATAAACAAGAGAAAACTATAGCGTACATGTTATTGGTACATAGAGACCGATAACGGTGGTTAGAGCCGGAGCCCAAGACCGGTCTGCTATTTATAGAGGGCCGCGCCGTGCACCCTGCATTCCCTCAGCTCTCACACTTTCAGTTTTACCCACTCCCTTCTACTTGCACTCAACGGTAATGCAGCTTAGGCTAAGGACAGCCGCTTATTATATCGGGCCATGTAAAAAATAAATAAATAAATTATAGAACAGTATATTAAAATTGTTATATCGATTATTATAGAAATGCTGTGAGGAGAACGAATAGTAAAATCCTTGCAGATGATATAGCTGTCTTTGGAAGCAATCAAGAGGGCATTGAGAGACTCGCTGAGACTCTGATAAGAGAAACGGAGTAAATCGGTCTACATGTAAACGAAAACAAAACAAAATAGATGATAGTACGCCGAAAATTTCATTCCAGTGACAGGATCTTGTTCCGGATAGTAGACAAATTCAAATAGCTAGGCACCATAATAACCCCAACGAATGACCAACTCTTGAAAATAGACCAGCGTATAATGATCATAAGGCTTAACGTACGCGAAGGTTCGATGCCGATACCACCCATCGATGTCCACATTCTTCCATCCACCAAGCGCCGTCTAAACCCAATCCTGCCAGATCAGCCTTAAAGCAATCTTCCCACCTTCGCTTTGGTCTAAATGATCATTTTATTCGCCTCAACTTAATTATCTCAGTTATATTAAACAGATACAGTTCGCCCAATTCAGCGTTGTGTAACCGCCTGAATTCTCTGATTGCCTCATCCTTCTTTTGCCCGAATATTCTGCGCAACACTTTATTTTGAAAAACCTTAAGACGTTACAAAAACCATAAGAACCGCAGGGAAGACCAGCGTAAAACAAGCGGAAACAGAGCTTTTTTCTCTCTATCAAGAGATCCCAAAAATCTTTATAATTAAGGGTAGAAAGAAGTACTCTAGAAAGAAGTACTGAAAGATTTGAGAGAAAAACCCTCCGCACGATAACCAGAGCGATCTGGGATCAGAATACCAACACACTGAAGAGAAGAATTTGTAAAGAACTGTATATAGAAATTAGTCAATATGTATTTAATAATATGAAGGCAAGGAGTGCTCGTGCTCCTGGTTAAGGCCGCAAAAGCTCTACAAGATTTGTAATTCCAACAGAAAAAAGATAAAATTAAATAAAGCTCATCAAACCTGGTGGTTCGCTACCAACGTTACCAACGGTCGTTCTCCACTGATCTGTCCCGAGCCTTTCCAAAACTCATAATAACAAGACTTTATTTGACAAAATCCTCCTGACTTTCAAGGGGAGGTAACGAACGAGAAGACACCGTCGTTTCAATGAAACCTTTCTTTGCTGATACTAGGTCGAAAAATAATAGACCCAGCCAAAGAGTTCTCGTCAACAAGCCCGACCATTTTATCATTTTATAATTTCATATATAAAAATAAAATTCTTATTTAAGGTTTTTTCCAACTTCATCATGACTCCTTCATCCAAGCGATAGACCGGTCTTATAAGCTATACGAATATACTAAAAGGTTTGAAGAATTTTTCTTCATTTATTATTAATAATGACAAAATTTGTAAGTTATTGATATGGTTTGAAAGGACAATAATTCAGCTTTTCAACGGCTGTAGCAACGTTGAATTAGGAGAAAATTGTGTGAAGTTGTGACTGGCATGAAAAAAATCCTCCAATAAAATCAAGTCCAAGAAATTTTTTCAATAACACACTTTTATCTATATCATCTAAATCTATAAAGCTCTCAAATTTTAGTCGTATTTTTCAGTTACTTAAATTCAATATGCAGGATATTTTTTCTCGGAGAACAATTCTATGAAAGTTGGATATATTCCGTCGACATAACAAAATGTAGCGGTTTTTCACAACTTTACCGGCTTTTAATGTTTTGCGCACCACTTCATTCAGCTCTCTCCAAATAAATTCTTAGGGTTGAAATCTGTATGTAAATTAAGTTGGCGTCCGCGAAGTACCATTTAGTGGTTTCAACTTTATTCTTTCACCACTGGTATTTTGTTCGCAGTTTTTGCCGTTATGTGCACTTTTAAGGCCCTTCTAAATGTAGTTATAGGTTTGAGCTTGTGAGTGTAAAACTATCTTTTAAAAAACCTCAAACAGGTCATTAAATATTTTTTAAAGTTCATAAAATTTAGAAATAAACTTTTTTTAGTAGGAAATCCTAACCTGAGCCAGGTTATTAAACATTTT